ACGGTACCGATCAACCAAGCTGTCACCATTGCAACGCTCCCACCCAATCAGTCATTCACCTTATCGACGAATGTCCTGCACTGCATTTACTAAGGAAATCRRMCTTTGGGAATAAGAGACCTTCCGACCTTCTCAAAACAACAAACAGCGATACCATCAGTGCCATTAATAAATTTCTTAAACTGTGTAATATCAAAGACATATAACACCACATACAACTAAATAACCTTACTAAATATTTTCTTTTCACCATAATCTTAGTATTAAGAGCCGAAGTCCCTGGCAGCCAGTGCTGATTCTTACAAGTGGATTAATTATTTATAATTAGTTCTCTTTTAAATAAATAAATAAAATAATATTATTACGAACTAAGTTTAAATCCGTACATCTATGTTTGCGGCATATATGAAAATATTTGCACTTATTGAGCGACAGAATCGCTCCAGAACAATTTGACCAGTTAGAGGTATCGGTTAGTATTTTTAGAAATTTATTTTTAACAGTGTTTAGATTGCTTATTTTAGACTAGAGTAAAACGTCATCTGCATATATAATGTGGGAAATATTGTTATCTCTGCTAATTAAGGTGCTTAATTCATTAAAAGCGATAGCAAATAGCATTACGGAAAGGGGGATCCTTGTGGGTTACCATTTTGTTGGTTACGTAAACTGGAAAAAACATTATTTAATTTTACTTTGAATTTACGGCTACTGAGAAAAGACTTGATAAAATGGTATATTTTATTACCAAATTTCCATTCTTCTAATTGACGTAGAACTATGTGAGCTCCAACACGATCAAAAGCCTTTTCAAAATCTAGACTGAGTGTAGAGATATGATTGCGGGAAGACAAACCATATGAGACGAAATTTTCAAAAAGAAGAAGCGCGTCGGAAGTTCCTTGCCCCTCTTTGAAAGCGAACTGATTTGGACTGATTAAACTGTGTTTAGAAGTATACCACATAATGCGTTTTGAAACGATTTTTTCTATTAACTTACTCATGCCAGATATAAGTGAAATAGGTCTATAATTTAGAACTTCTGAGGACGGGTTAGTAGACTTTGGTATGGGAACAATTGTTGCAATTTTCCAGTTTTGTGGATAAAATCCGTCCGTAAATATTTGATTGTACATATTGATTAATCGTAATTTAAGCGGTGGAGGCAAGTTTTTCATCATATCGTATGAAATTCTATCTCCGCCAGGAGTTTTACCTGACAGAGCAGATATTGTACTTTCGAAATCTAGATAAGTGATCTTTGATTCTATTATTTAAGCTGGTGAGTAGCTGTGACTCATAGTTTCATATTTTTTATCTATAAAAGCGGAACTAAAGTTCCCGTCGTTAGAATACGTAGACCGAGTGGAGGCAAACTGTTCAGCTACCGCCTTGGGATCGAATATTGGACCAGTTGGGCTATTAACAAAATTTGTATTGACTTGGGAAGTTGAGCCAGTTAGCATTTTAATGTCCGACCAAATCTTTTTAGGATTAGAACTGGGGTTTATTTCTGTGGTAAGTTTTTCGAAGCACATTCGTTTTGCTTCTTTAGTTTTCTTACGAAAAATAGCATTTGGTTTCTTGTATAAAATCAGATTGGCTTCTGTTCTGGAACGCTTATATTGTCCCCAGTTATACTGTTTTAAATTTCTTAAGCTCTCCAACCCCTTTGACCAGTAAGAAAATTCTTTTTTATGGGGTTTAGAAATAGTTTGCGGAATTGAAAGGTGCGCTGCAGACCTTAATATTTTGGTGATATTAGCCGCCTCTTTATTGAAATTTTGAGATACAGGGGTGTGATCGCAGAACAGAATTGCCTTTTGCATGTACTTAGACCAGTCTGCTTTACCTGTCAGGAACTTTGGTTTAGGAAAGGCCTTTGCAAAGGATGACGTTGCAATTTCAGTTACTATTGGGTAGTGGTCACTACCACACAGACTATCAGGAGTTCGGCTATTCACTTTTGGAGCTATATTGGTAGAGCAAATAGATAGGTCGATGTGCGTAAAAGAATTATGCGTTGAAAAATGGGTCGGGGCACCATCGTTCAATACGGTAAGATTCTCTGTAAGAACTAAGTTTTCCAGAATTAATCCTCTTTGGTTCGTTCGGGGGGAGCCCCATAATGGGGACCACGAATTCATATCTCCAACCAGGATTACGGGCTTGGATACTGAGGAGAGAATTTGCTGAAGCTCAGTAAGCATGAAATTTTGTTGTGGGGGAATATACAAGCAAATAATCGTAAATTTAAATTCTATGGATATCTAAATGGCTAAAGAAGCTATATTTGAATAGATTTCGAGGAATTTATGTGGAATGTCTTTTTTTACTAAAACAGCAGTACCTTATTTGTTTTTTAAATTCTGAGGTAAATTTAAGAAATAGCTAACATACTTATTTGGTACAAAAGCGTTTTTATTTACAGCAAGATGGGTTTCTTKTAAGGCAATGAAGTGTGGTGAGATATCTTTAATGAGAATTTCAAGTTCAGTGTAGTTGTTGTAGAAGCCCTTTATGTTCCATTGAAGTATATTGAACATAGAGCGAATAGGACAAAGAAGAATGGATTAGATTTCKTCATCGTCGAAAGTTGGCATAATCTGATCATGGTCTGGTTGACTGTGTTGTTGAGTAATTAATGAGTTGGTTTGTGAGTTGTTGATAAAAGTAKTTGAAGTGTGATGAGATTGCAGTTCGCTGATAAATGAATGAGTGAAGTTAGTAGGTTGCTGAAGTGTTTAAGTCGTTGTTGCGTTTGGAGTAGGATATGTTTCAGCAGTGTTAGTGCTCTCTACAGCCTCATTGTGAGAGACTTCGGAAGAACTTTTATTGGAAGTTATAGGAAGTTTTGAGCTGTTGTAATTCTTTGATTCGTTTTGTTTTACTTTTTCTGCAAAAGTAATGTTTGGAAGGCTGGGCACTTGGGTTTAAGGTAGTTTTATAGCCTCACACATCGTACATTTGTTAACAGTTTTAATTTTTAAAATCTCTTTAGTTTGGATGTACCTAGGGCAAGTATTTGAATATGATGGGTGCTCGCCAGCGCAATTAGCGCATAAGGTGCGCAAACATTGTACTGAGCCGTGAGGGGGAAATTACACACGCAGGTCTGTTGTTACACCTTTTAATGGAATGTCCTAAGAGTTGGCATGATTTACATCTCATTGGATTGGGAAAATATGGTCTTACACGCGCTGAGCGCCATGAAACCTCCACTTTACTAGGTAGTTCATATAAATCGAATGTAAGAAGGGTAACACCGGTGTGAACTAAGGTATTGTCCACCTTCTTTTTTGAATTTATACATATATTATTTTTACTTATGTATATCGCCTTAATTCATTTATTAATAATTGCATTTCAATTTTTGTATAAACAGTGACGGTAAATAAATAAACGGTTTTTTTTTCTTTCCTGAAAAGTTACCTTTTTTAAGATACGAGGTTGAGAATATATAACTCTATATCTAAATCGATAAACTTTAGTTGATACAAAATATCGTTCAGTAAACAAAACTGTTATAATCTGTAGTAAAATATAAATATAATACTTTCTCCTTTAAAATAATGAAAAATGATTGATTAAGGTTATAGTTTCGGCTAATATGTTAATACTTATGTCGTGTTATAGAAATACCAAATGTGCCGTCGAAATCTTTATATTTTGAGTATTACAACAGCAATCTCTCCGGTGCGAAAAATTAATTTACGATGTGGCAACATCCCTCGAAGCTTTTGACATATTAGCGTTATATGTTTCTGATACATTTAAAAGTATTTATAGAATGACCAAAATAAATACGATGAAAAAACTATCAAGGAACGAAATTTTCAAACACCAAATACTTTGTTCAACTGCTGCAACCAAACGGTCATTGTTCTTACGAAAGAGTTGTTATATACATATAAATATTTACATGATTAGTTTTGTATATAAATAATTTATATTTATATTGTACAATAAGTACGTAATATGAAGTTCCGACAATATAAAATGTACAAAATATTAAGAACTAATGAATGAATAAGTTTTTTTTTTTTGAATAATGTGTCTTTGGTCTTATTTTTGCTATGACCACTTTAATAAAGTGATAAATCTATTATTAGTTACGCAATGCGTATGCAAAATTAATAGGAGTGGGCTATACGCCTTTTTGAGCTAACAAGAAGATAAACAATATGGCTAGAAAATAAAGTTGCCAACGATATTTTGTGGTCGGGAAAATGCAAATTACTTAAAAACTGTCAGGAAATGAGAAGTGCTTACTATTTAATTAAGATAAAATTGTGCAATTTGAATTTCCATCAGTAATACATACTTAACGGTTGCAGAGTTATGAAATTACTCTAAAATGGAGTGGTATCCTGAAGAAGATGAAGAAGAGTTGATGTATTCGCCAGCTTTATTGGCTAGAAGAGCATCTGAGAGCTGGATCGTTGAGCCACCGATCGAGGTTACTTTAAATATTTAAAAACAAATTTATTTAGAAGCGGTTTAAAAGTGTATACATTTTAATTTATAAATTGTATTTAAAATGTGTTTTTAATAAACATATACACATTCCTTTTTTTCAGATTACTCCTATAAATGTGACGCTACAACGAAAAAAATCGCTACCAGATTTTCAAGATCTTCCACGTTCCACGGAAGCTATGACTAGGGAGGAGGTGTCTGCGTTGGGTTCAGCAAGACGTGAAGCTGTACGCCGCCAAATAGAAATTAACGAAAGATTAAAAGCAAATCCCCTACTTTATATTTTTAGTCCACAAGTTAAGGTACCGTTTTGTCGTTGAACAAAAAAAAAAATAATAATAATAATTTATAAATTTTTTACAGGATTGGCTTTCTCGACAACAATTGGTGCTACTTGTGCTTTTTGTAAATATACTTTTAGGCTACCTTTTCGTGAAAATATTAACATAGCGAAATTTGTTTAAAGCCTAGTATACTCATATGAAAATGTACGGTTTTAGTTAAATATCTTAGTGATTTTAAGTTATATTCGAATGAATGTCTGCACAATTTTGATAAAAAATAACATTATAAATCAAGAGTCTTAATGGTCATTACAAATGATTTATATACTTAAAGATTTTGTCGTTCACTGTTATGCATTTGGTCAGTTCGCTAGAGGAGATTGTTTTTATGCAATTCAATCATATATTACATTTAAAGAATTTAATAAGTATTCCTGATATAGTTCACTAATTAAATTATTTTGTTTATCAGAAGCATTGGACTCTTTCTGTTATATATAATTTTGTAGGAAATGGACATATACAAAACAAAGATATCAGCATCAAAATATTAGTTGCGTATACATACATATGTATATCATAGAGAATTCTAAAATATTCCTTTCATCTCCCAACTAACTTACGACTTACAAGCTATATTTATATCAATCATACCTTAAAAAATTTCTTATATAGAGAATTGTAAGTTCGTAAACATAATTTATATCCAATAACTTTCTTTAATTAAGAGTAACAACTAGTTGCTTCTTCAGTGCGAATTGACCTAATTGTAAGAAAATAAATATTTATTCAATTCTTGTTTAAATCCCTCTATAAAAAATCATTTGTTTTTACTTATGTTTAGTGTAAAATATTTTTTACGTGCCTTATTCAAAAAATTATATTAGATTTGTTTTTATGAATATTGTCCTATGCGTACCAGGATATTTGAAACGAAGATAAAATCAGTACTCTCCCAAAGTTAAACTAATAGTTACTACGGTCAATTAATAAATGCAAATTTGAGTTACATATACTAAAATTATGTAAAAAAGTAAGGAAGGGCTAAAATCGTGTGCAGAACACTTTATTTAAATATTTGGTAAGACGAAAGTTGGTAAAATACTTAAAAGTATCGGAGAGACTTTTTATTAAACAAGTAAGAAGGCTAAGTTCGGATGTAATCGAATATTTTATATTTATGTGGCTCAAATTCGACGTAATAATACCAGGTTTTGACAACATTATTACTAATATGCAATATTTTGCTTCTAGTCCGAAATTTGTATATTAAAATTGATTTAATTAACTGAAATGATATAGACATACTATATGTGACATAAATTCTCGCAAAGACGCCAAATTTGATGTATAGGGTTTATACAAAACCCTCAACTAGAGGACAAAAATAACTATATTAGATATATGATTTATATTTTACGTCTAAGCTAATTTCTTTCATATCTAGCGCACTTTATTTTAAATTAAACTTCTCCACTTAATTTTAGTAAGGTGAAAAGTTGGAAATCACCATATATTTGGATTAGAGACAGATTAAGAAATGTATTAAATTGTTATTATCTAGAATGCTCGATAACGTGCTGCAGGTAACTTTTTGAAGATGACTCACATAATGATCGACATTTAATAACGAAAACCATTATATAATATGTGGTACTTGGATTGATTTCACACATTTTCCGCATTATAAAATAAAAATGTTTACAAATTATTCAAATATACGTTGCTTGATGACCGCAATTTTTTAATTCCAAGACATTCTCAAGAAATGAGACTGTCTCAAACCACAACCTGGTTGATTGAGAAAGGATTGGACATGTCTCTGAATAAAATTGATCTCACTCAAGAACTTAAGCCTTTGGATCACCGTAAACGTCGTTAATCTGCTTATTTTGTTGTGGAACAACTTGAAAATGATAACGATTTGTTTAAAAAAATAATTTTCTCCGATGAGACTCCAAAAATTATTCATGAACAAAAAAATTACGGTTTGGTATAGTTTTTGGAAATGAAGCTTGTGAGACCGTTACTGTCAATAGAGAGTGGTATAGATCAATGATAACAAAGTTTTTAAGGCAGCAATTATAAGAAGCTGATCTTGACAACATCTAATTCCAACAAGACGGGCCTACACGTGCCTACTTTGATATTGAATGGCCTCCAAGAACCTGTATATTAACGCCATTAGACTACTTCTTGCGTGGTTATTTGAAGTCATTGGTCTTTCAAGCAAGAGAAATCAATATTGAACATTCCTATTATGACACATACCATTTGAATGATGTTATATTCAGGACTTAATTGTATCGATTGTACTTCGATTAGTTGTTTAGTCTTATTGGAAAATCCTGTATATTGAATTTTATAGCCTCACTTAACTTGGGAGAGAGACTGAAATGGTATGAGAGCTAGGTTTTGTATTCACTCGATTTTATCCATTTCTAGGATTAGAGATAAGATAAGATTCTCTCAAATTTTTCATGAGATACTTCACATCTTAACCAGTACCTAAGGCACAAGATAACCGAATGTTTAAAAATGTCTAAATAAGGTATTGAGGGCTAGGTGAAGTATTCGCTTGATTGTATCTTTTTTACGCTCAAGGATCGACTGTTAAAAGCAAGATATTATTTCTAAATTTCATATCAATATCTTGCATATGATATAGACTACAGGGTTGTTGTTCGATTTCGTCCATTTTTATAATGTAACATCTTTATGTCAAGATAATATTATGAATTTACTGCAAACTAGTTATTTTGTTCCTAACATATAGTTCTCACCTAAAAATACGCGGTGCCACTCCCATTGTCCAATTTGATATTATAATTTGCAAAAACGTGTTACGAGAATATAAAAACAGAGCTAAACGAGTCCATAACCGGTAGTATAACTTAAGAAGATACCAATTGCCGATATTCGTTAATATTTGCACACCATTGATCCTTACGAATTGCAAAAGTATGTAATATTGATTGATTCTAGGTTAGCAGATATAGTTGAAAGACTATACCCAATATTTACCGTTGCATCCTCGCCGCGTACCCTGGAAGCGTGGGTAACCCTTTTGTAAGATGCGGTAACTAACCAATGTAGAGCCTGGGTTTACGGCTAAAAGAGAGGAAGCTTTAGCGAAGCCATATACTGGCCGTATATGGTTTAGGCGTTTGATAAAAACTAATTGCAACGTCTGCGAGCGGCCAGTGAATTGCACTGAGCGTCAGTATATCATCATACGTCCATCCTCCAGTGCGAGACCGTCCCTTAAATAGTAGCCATCGAAACATCGTTTAAAGCATGAGGATAAAATTTCTTCCCTAGAAATAGCATTTTCTAACTTTAAAATTTTTAGGAACCAATTTCCTCATACAGAATTCTCCACAAATATAAGACACAACATTGGAAACACACAGGTCACAGGTGTTCAAAAATTCGTGAAAATATTGAATAAAAAGCGAATTTTGAAATTTTTTTATAAAAAAAAGAAAAATGCCAGGAAAGCCGACAATGAAATTTGTGAAGTTTACGGAGATGACGCTGTATCAGTTCGTTTAGCACAACAATGGTTTGCTCGCTTCCGGTCTTGACATTTCGATTTACACTGATGAAAGCTTCACACTGATGGAATAATGTTCCTAGCGGAAAAATGGCAAAACCAAAATAGTACACATTTGTTTATTTATTTATTCTTCTTTTTACTAGCGTAGATACCACTTACTCGATTATAGTCGAGTTAACAACAGCACTCCAGTCGTTAATTCTTTCCGCATCGTAGCGTGAAATTGGAAAATCCAAGCGAAGTCGCGGTCTCTTAACCGTCCGGTCAATGATCGGGTACCCGGGTATCCATTTCAATCTACATGTAAATTTTTCCTAACYTCTCCTCCAAAAAATGTTATGGCCGCCTGGATCCCCAAAAATAAAGTTATTTGACACATATTTTTCGTAAAAATTTTTTAGAATCAATTGTTTAATAAAAGTTATTAAGAACCTCGGCACCTCCTCCGTTCAATAACCAGGTACCCGGGTACCCGCTGAGATTGAAATATATAAATAACGGGTTTACACATACTTAAGAGATTATTTATCAAAGTATTCAGATAACTATGTTTTTAAATGAATAATAGACAATATAGTTTACAATTTCTTTTATTTTAACAATAATTCTTATTATAAACAACAACAAAAATAGTTAGCTACAACAAAATAATTCCGTTTTTATTTATTTTAGTAATATTATTTTCTATTTTTGTAATATTTGTTATTTAATATTGTTTT